ATTTTTTATTTACTTAAATAATTAATTACACGACAACGTTGTAATCAAATTGTAGTAGCGACAATATAAAACAGCTTTACTAACTTCCAGCAAAAGCCCCAGCATATAAACACAACAATAACAGTGTCTATAATAAACCATATTAATTACGCACTTAGCTGGAGCGCAGGGGAAGGACCCTCCTGTCTTCACTCCTCTCACCAGAACATTTGGCACCGACACCCTTTCCACCAATCATTGCTCTTTTATATGTAAGTACTTACGTTAAATTTATTACAAGATTGTGTTTGGATTGATGTCCAAATGTATAACAGAAGTGTTGTCAACCTAAACCTTTAGCCGACTTCTCACGCGGCGGTTACTGTTAACCTAACTGCCTGTAAGCGGTGCACTCGTAATACATTAAAAGTTATTGTCTACGAAACGTGTGAGAATATTTAATTAAATCAGTGTGCGCCACAGAACAACGAAAGTGACAACACACTTATCTCGTAAACGTTCTGGCATAGAAACATAGCGAAATGATATCACGCATTTTCCCAGACTTATTAAGAAATATTCATGTATGTTTTAATTAAGTGAATCACAGTAAAATTTTAAAAACTCGGAAGCGCGATCTGATAATGAAATAATTACGAAATGCTTTAATACAAGCGGGTTTGGCGTGAGATGAACAGTCAAAACGCATTAATATGATGGAAGATTTACATCAATAAAAGAAAGTATTAGTATATAATTAATCTGATCATGTGGACCATTTGAATAGGTATTACAAGTATCCATCGACGATCGTTTGTAATAATTGACAGACGAATTCAATGTTAGCCAAAAACATGATGAAAAGTTAAACGTCGATTTAAAAAAAACATCGATTAATCACACATTGTACACAAACAAAAATTTGTTCCATACCGTTTGTCGTATCCTGGAATCACCCAGAATTAGTTTCGGGCGTGTTTCCCGGCGTCATCTGGAAGCGTCTCATTAGAGGTGAGCCGCGGCAAAAAATATGTTCGAATCGAGACTACAATAAGCCGCATGACTCGCTGCTCCGCGATCAATTATTAATAAAAAGCGGGCCGCTTCATTGAAAGGGCGATTAGCTCAATATTTATATGGAATATTCGGTATCAACGGCGCTTTGTGCTCATAATTCGGTGGGTCGTGACGAGGCGCGTTTGAATCTACCGGCCAACGCATAGACCAACTGCTGCTACCGAACATAGACACGTTATTAGCTATTGGAACTTTGTACGAAAATTAATTCTTTATTAGCCATTAGTGACCTAAAAAAATGGTAATGAATATGAAATAGAAAAAGCATTTTATGTTCAAGATTAAATAACATTGAGTATATAGGTGTACAAGATAGGTCTAGATAGGAGTTACATACTACTCTTTATCTATACTTACTAATATTATAAAGCTGAAGAGTTTGTTTGTTTGAACGCGCTAATCTCAGGAACTACTGGTTCGAATTGAAAAATTATTTTTGTGTCGAATAGACCTTTTATCGAGAAAGGCTTTAGGCTATATAACATCACGCTGCAACTATTAGGAGCGAAGAAAAAACGGAAAACGCGGACGAAGTCGCTGACGGCCACTAGTTTAGTATATTTTCAATTTATGCTTTTTGGTAAGGGAAAAAATTCTGCGATATAAATAGAAAAAATAAAAATAGCTGTGTACACACGACTGCTTGTCAGGTTACCACAATATGTAAAATTTCCCTAGAAAGTCTACCCTCAAAACATTAAGGTTTAAAAGCAAGTGGAGAAATTTGACGGATTTGTATAACCTGCCGTGCTGTTGACTGCACAACTTTACATAAAAAAAATGTTAATTGTGCCGAAACTAAAGTAAAAGTATACATTACTAAAGTAAAAGTAAAAGAAACTAAAAGTATACATTTAAGTGTATATTGATATACCCTAATTTTTTTTTCTCAAACGTATTTTGAACTAAAGTAAATTCTCTGAGAAGTTCAAGGAGCTAGGCATAGAATTAAAACTTCAATCTTCGTAATCTTTGTACCTATCTGAGGAGCGCGGCCACCGCGCTCGGCTCATACTCATTGTACTACCGAATTGATTCAGACTTCTGAAAGAGTCTTGCCGTGAAAGCAGCCGCTATAGCGGCATGAATTTGTTTAATCTGATACGATTCCGCGCACATCAATCACGGCACGTACCCACTTGTTCGTGGCGAAATTAATATCGTGATGGACGGAATTCTGACTGATAGAAATTACTATTGGTTTGTCACACCCTAATGCTATCCATAATACCAAATCTATTTTCAAATATTAACATACTTAATTTGATTCCCAGTTGAACAGTTGGCTCTAATCTACTACTAAAAATATTAATAGAAAAAAAAACATATTTCATGTTTTTAACAACTAACAGCCAGTGATATTATAAATATGTTTTAGCATATAAAAACAATTTATCTCTGGCGGGATTCTAGCAGCACTTCTTCCAAAATCTGAGCGATCTGGATTACAGGTAGTTATTCTATTCTGTCGCAATTCAGTTGATTTGTCAATTTTAAACAGGTACAGGACAAATATTTTCATAAATATATAGATTGTATTACATCCGTTAAAACTTTAGTTAATATTCTAAGGTTAATCCATCCCATTGCTTCTGAAATATTTCTTCCAAGGACAATACATATCAACCCAACATGGTTTAAAAGGTAATAGTTATATTTCCAGTGGAATTACCATAATAAAATTGTTAGAACATAAGTATATTTTATTTATTCCTATGGACGATATTTATACCATAATCTATATCCATCAGAAAATAGATAAGCTGCATAGTTAATTATATAGAACCTGAACGCAAAGGACTCGCCAATACGGACTTCAAGTTATTATATTATGATAGATCAACAACAAACTGCCTGATCATTGAATCATTGAACAGACCTAAACGCTATCATTGGCCGAGGCGATTTTTCAGCCAGTCTTCGGTAATGAATGGGCATTTTCACGAGCTTTGGCGCCGCTCGCCATGCAAATGTGCTGGGTAATGACGCGCGAAGTCGAACCACACAGCTACACAAACAACACATGATATCTATTTATACAAAACAGCAAATCCAGTTACCTTTGTGTACTATATAAGGTGTAATTTATTTACATTAGTGTACTGCTTGGTTCTCTATGATACCGATTTTATAAAAGTAGTCTACACCTTTTAAAGTTAAGTACATTTAATACACTGTAATTTACCTTGATAATGAGACTTAGGACTCAACATTATTAGCATCACCTGCCTGTTAAATTTTTTTTTTATTATTAATTGAATAGAACTTGAACGCAAAGGACTCTTTTACATTGTATTGGCAAGTTCTTTGCGTTCAAGTTCTATATACATAAATAACTAAGCAGCTAATCTATTTTGTGACGGATATAGTTAAATATTATGGTATAAATATCGTCCATAGGAATAAATAAAATATACTTATGTTATAATAATTATATAACACTTTTATTATGGTCATGCCAGTGCCAATATAACTATTACATTTTAAAGCATGTTGGGTTGACATGTATTGTCCTTGGAATAAATATTTCAAAAGCAATAGGATTATTTAACCTTAAAATAATAATTAAAGTATTAACAATCTATATATTTATGAAAAGATTTGTCCTGTAAAAATATTTTTGAACAGGCTCATGATGAAGTACTGCTGGGCAACAGGCCTTCCCTATAATAGAAGCATTTGGATAACGTGGCTTTTCTAAGATAAATAAATATTAGATAACATCACATACATTGCTCGTAATATGGAATATCTTAGACATCGAAGGTACCTCAACAGCCAGATCCGTGATAATATAGAAAATTCATATAAACACTCATTATGTCATTTTTACAACAGCGCATGTTCCAATTTAAAAAACTAGAGGACAAAACAGGACGCAGTAAATAATACTATTTAGTTTTAACAGCAAAAAAGAAAGCTCTGCAGTATGGTGCACACATTCGCGAGTCGTAACGTAAAAATTTCAAAAGCGCCCCCTGTAAATTTCAACAACATGATAATATCAGGGCGCTGTTTAAAAACCCAGGACTCTTCTTAAAAACCCACGACGCTGCTGAAAAACCCAGGACGCTGCTTTATAAGCATCCAGATCATCCCAGGACATATCCTTTCGAGAACAGTAAGGTTTGCAGCTCTATACAACAAAGATAGGAATGTCCAAAAACGAATATCTTACATCAAAACTGTTATAGTGTAAATTCGTCAAGCGAAAGTTCAGGGTATGAACACTAATGTATTCTAAATTGCATAGAATTTTAAACACATCGACAAACAGCTCAATATAGACTGTTATCTACCTAAAATATGTACAAAACGATGAAAATTAAATTGAATTTATCGAATATCGTCTGATCCAATCAAGTGCAATACTGTTCTCTCAAATATATCATTAAATAAATTCATTAAATAGACCTACATCTACAGGGTGAAATTAATTTTTTTCTTTGTTTAATTGTGAGCTAACTCATTTAAGAGTTGAATAACGTACGAACATTTGACCTCGACGTGAGTCAGAGGACTAAAAGCACTTTAATAGCTGCGTGATGAAGTCATCCGAAAGAAAAGGGCGAAGAATAGAGCATGAAAGCGCCTCACAATACTCTTTTAATTTGTCATTATGCAGCAATAAAAACATTATGAATGAAAAGGACAAAAACTCGTTCAGACTCCGACAAAAACTGCGCGCTAGGGCGAATTTCGCAAATCATTCCGCCAGTAATGACGGACGCTTGAAAAAAATTTAAATATCAAAAGGCCGGACGGGGCGAAGTAATGGTTTAAAATCATTTTTCATTCGAACCACTCGTGATTCAGAATACGGTAGCCACCGAGATGGGCTTCCATTAGCTGTGAGATTAGTGTTTTGGATCGGGTCCATCTCATCTGAACCTTCTTCAAGTTCGTTACCTCCTTCGTGCCATGGCTAATAAAACACCGTAAATAAAAGTAAAGTCATTTTATTAACAATCAATAATGTTTTTGCGTTATATCTTCACAGGGGATCATTTGTTTTTCCTCTTCTTTTGTTTTTGGACTTGCTCCAACGGCGGCAGGCCACTATCGTACTCGCTGGCTGTGTGCATTGAACATTGCTTTTTTGTAACGTTGCTTCCGTAACCACCAATCTTCATCCTCGGAAAGCTGCACAAATCAAATGTGTTTTATGTTGAAAGATTTATTTTCACTGCAGTAACATCCAAGAAGACTTATTTAAAACTAGTTATCCGCCCGCGATTTCGCCCGCGTATATTATACGATTTTACCCCTTTATGACATAATTTGCCACACCAATGTGCCAAATTTCAGCTCGATCTGTCCAATAGTTTGAGCTGTGCGTTTATAGATCAATCAACAGTCAGTTATCTTTTCATAGATTTAGGGGGAGAAATCATAAATCAATAATGACTTACATATTGAAAGTATTTAGATAAAACTTTTTTTTGGATTTATTAAATGTAGCAATAAGAGAGAGCTCGACCGAGAAAGAGTAAAAAACTAACATTTTATTTCAGGTTTTACAACATATGTTTATCAATTTGATAAACATATGTTAAATGCTTATCAATTTGCATCAAGATTATAACGTAGTCCCCTTGGTCTTCCCTATGGATGAAATCGAATCAAATCAAATAGGGAGCTGGGACCAACGACTTAACGTGCAAACGATATAAAAATTTTGGTCACCCATCCTATGGTTAACAATAGTATCGCAGATCAAGCGCACTCACCACTGCGCCATCGAGGGCCTACGCCATCTATATCTATACAAATTATGCCTAAATTGCGAAATACCTTGTTCTTGTAGGCGAAACAGTAAGGGAATAAATAGGGTCGTCAAATTTCAAACCGATTCCTTTGAAGTTGCGAGAACTTATTAAGTGACAAAATATAATGCTGCACAGAAAACTATGCCTTTGTTATAAGGTTTTTTTTAATCTTGTCATTGTTTTCACGAGTAAAAGATCCCGTTTTGATAGAAAACTTTTTGGTTTAGTTTAACGCTAAATTTGCATTATTAGTGGCCCAGATAAGCCACTAAAAAAGAAGAAGAAGAAGCTACAATAGAATTGTCATTACATCTGTTACTGTTGACAATTGTCAATTTTATTGACATTGGCAGTACAGAGCAAATCATTACATACTCTTTTTTGGTTAAATTGGTACTAATTATTGAGTTGTAAGCAAAATTCGACTTTATGGGTACGAACCTTTTTCAAACCTTACTACCATGGTACATATGCAAAAAGTAAACATTTTTTCCCAACAACTCACCCAGGCCTCTTCTTCTCTTCGTCTATATGCACCGTGAGTCTATTGGTCGGTTTCTCCTTCATATTAGGTAAATTTTTAACTCTCCTTGCTAATACAGCGGGTGTGTCACGCAAGGCGAACGCTTTAGCAGCGTGACCAAGATGAAGCTGCTTTGCATCCAGCCATTGACGCACCTCGCGAGGGTAGCCCGAGTAAAATCTTACCCATGACGTATAAGCTATGAATATCAAATAAAGGTATATTATAAACAATTTTTGGAATTGCTGTTAATTTGTCTTGTTAAATCTTGAGAACGGCTAGGTCGATTTACCCTAGTTTGCTTTTGAAATGTTTGTAGTAGTCCGGGGAAGGTTTAAACGGTTAGTGGTGACATGAAGTACATTAGGTCATATAGTATTAAATAAATAAATATAATACAACATAACATACATTGCTCAGATTTCAAGATATGTACGAGCAGCCGTATGGAGTATATGAAATAACGAACTAATAAAATTGCAATTTCAGCTTTAATTTACACTGACGCTAAACCTTGTTTATTAATAACACTGCTTAAGACAATCATACCTGCCTGCCTTTATTATTTGTTAAAAAAAAATATTATGTTTCATAGATTTGCATTTAGTGTATTATTTCTTACAGAACAATTACTTGAAAAATCAATTCCAAATTATTTAAATCTCCTCCGGACTCGGAAGGTGCGCGGGACAATTATTTTTTGTTTAGTAAATAGCTTACTGTCAGAATGCTTCGATATATATTGCATCCTTAGTTAAGGCTTCAAAGACTGTGCTCAGCAGGCCACCTACATATTTCGATTTCGATAAAAACATATATACGACTAAAAAGAAAGTACGGTTAAATAGTGGAGTTGTAAACACTCCAACAGACGCGCGCCATAACAATCGTTCGAGAAACAAGTATTTTTAGTAATGAAACCTTCGTTGTAGGACTCACATAATATGCGTTCAGGAACAGATAAATATATAAATAAGAACGTTCAACATCGGAAAAGGAATGATACTAAAGCTGCAATACCAATAACAGTTATGTTAAGACGAACGGGATTCAAAAAAAAAAAGACTACGTATAACTATTTGAATACTGAATAATTAATTGAACGTTATAACGCCCCACTGCGTTTCGTACTTCCTGTGCCCTCACTAGCGACCAATATATAAGAAATAGAAAAGCAAATATTTTGAATATTCAAATTTATCGTATTTGCTTTTTTCTCACCATGCGAGGGGCATTTATCGGTTGCACAACACGAGAGATGGATTTTAATAGGGTTGATGATTATTTTTTTTTGTTTGTCTGTTAGGTAGACTATTGAAGATTTTTTTTCTATTTATTTGGTTAAGACAAACAGTGACAAAATACAATGTATTATACACAAAAATTAAAAAATAAATTAATCATTTTGCCACCAAGAACATTTACCACGATTAAACACGTATTAAACGATTTTTTTTTATCTCTTTTATTTTTGCGTAATCAATTAATTATGGGATACACTGAGTTGAAATGTCGTTTTTGTAGCAGCTTTAATTCAGCTTTAATTCTCGTTATCTAAGTCATTTCTTGTTTAATTTGAAGCAAAAAAATTTAATATCTAAGTCATTTCTTGTTTAATTTGAAGAAAAAAAAATGAATCTAATATCTTTCTATCATTGGATCGACGGACTAAAAAGAATTAATTTTTTTAACCAGTGTTCATTTCTATATATATGTTCGTAAATACAAGACATTGATATTTCAATTAATTGTATTTATTATTATCTACCTGCAATTTTACCGTATACCTGAAGACTTGATGGTTGTGCCAAAATAAAGCCCTAAATAATCTGACTGATATGTCAGTCAGACAGATTATTTAGGAATTTATTATGGCACAGCCATTGTCAGCAGACAAATCAGCAGGCTTACTCTTGAACGCAATTTCAATGTCAATTTCAAAGCAATCTAATAACGATCTCAAATTTCATCAAATCCTAGCTCACACTTTTGAAACATCGGCTAAATATTTACTTAATGTCAATGAGTCCATTCAATAACCACTAAATATTGAGCCTATTGGCGCTAGTACACGAAATCATCAGTATGAAACGTTACAATTGTAATGTCTATCGATCGTGATTGTGTTCAAGAGTAAGCATGCAGGATTGGTCTACGATCTTGATTATGTTCAAGAGTAAGCATGCAGAATTGGTCTACGATATTGATTATGTTCAAGAGAAAGCATTCAGGATTGGTCTACGATCTTGATTATATTCAAGAGTAAGCATGCAGAATTGGTCTACGATATTGATTATGTTCAAGAGTAAGCATGCAGGATTGGTCTACGATCTTGATTATATTCAAGAGTAAGCATGCAGGATTGGTCTAGGGAGGACAGACCAACGCAGATCGTTCAGCTGAAAGTTGACCTGTCAGCCTGACAAATCATTCAGAGCTGCATTTTGACACATCAATCAGCACATCAATAACAGAGGCGCTGGGTTAATATATTATTGATACAATGGCATCTTTATAAATTGTAAAAAAAAATTCCGTTTTGCTTTAAATAAAAGGAAATACTAAATTAGAATATTCAAGATATGATTCACTTCATTTGTTGCCAGTGAAGTATGTCGTAGTTAGACGTAACGGCTGGTTTATACGTATTAAGTAGTTAACTTAATTGTTAGCCTCATTGTATGCGACTTACGGCTGGTTTCTGAATTAAGTAAAGTACAAAATCTCAACTGATTATTCTGAATAACTTAAGTCTTTTTACTTTTTACAAGGCATAAAGTCCTGGTTTTATCAAACTGCTATCAACTGATTATTAAAAATAAGAAACAAAATCAGAAGCAAAAACCTGTTTGAAGTGACGTTTAATTATTTGATTTTAAATACTCAGTTCAGAAACCAGATGTTAATTTCATAATGACTTCTTTATACGTATTAAGTTGATAAATAATTAACTTAATTTTAAGTGATTAAGTGCGTATAATCACTTAAAATAAGTTAATCACTTATCCGCTTAACACGTGTAAACCAGCCTTTACAGTATCATACCTCTACTAGCACGCGCGAGCCATTCTTTAGAGCTGTGAGCGGTATACTCCAACTTGGACTGCACCGCGATGGCAGCGCGGGCTGCATTAGCTGCAGTGGGAGCGACACTACGCAGCGGTTCCAGAACTTTTGACTCGTCCGACTGGCGTAATCTGGCCAAAACATAACGTAAATGGTCTTCAGTCTCTCTAAAATATGATTTAATAAAAAGATGGCTTGTCTTTGGCGTTATGCTAGGGAACGTCTACTGCTAGTTGAGATTAGTTTTTTTATTCAGACTATTTACTTTATCCATTTTCTTTTATTATTCATACTTGTATCATCACCAGCCCTTTTCTTCCCTATAGATGGAATCAAATCGAGTCGTATAGGGAGGACGGGGCTATGACCCACCAAGCGGACCCATAGCGGATTGGTAGGTGTTATCGACTACAGATGCAGCGACCAACGACTTAACGTGCCTTCCGAAACACCGAGGAGCTCGAGATAGTAATTTTTGGTCACACATCGTATACTGCGGCATCGAGCTTCCCTATACATATTTGTATAATACGGCATAATAAATTGACAAATTATAATAAATCATATCTATATTTATTCTTATTTTTTATATTTTCTCAATGTTCATAACCAAAACTAGTCGTGTCGTTTATGTGTTATTTATACATAAATTAATCGTTATTGTTAGCCACGATATCGATTTGAGGCATGGGTTATGTTAATGCATTTATTTTTGTTAAATTGGGGAGTTTCTTGCGCCCTTTCTTATCAAACGAAAGATATCCTGAAGTATACAAAAAAGTGGGAGAATTGAAAAGTACATTAGTACATTTTTCAATACGCATATTTATATATAGAATATTTTGACTTTGACATGTTTGTTCGTACTCTCAGGATATGAGAAACCACAGAAAACATTAGGCAAGCGCGTCACAAAACGAGACCACCAGGTGTCCGAATACTGTCGGACAGGGACATGCTTTTTGGTTGCGTTTGCGGCCAAATGAAACGGTGACCAGCCTGACCAGTTTTTACAATTGACCATTTTTTTAATAATATAAATAATATCGAACAATAGATAACAAAAACTGCTCGTTCAAATATTTTCCATTAGAATTTAAGATTTTATTTTAAATAATAAAAAAGCCTTGTTTTACGAAAGTATTGAGTGCTTTAACACTTTTTTCCAATACGAAATCCCGTACGCATTTGTGTAAATGAGCTTGCATATAACCTAATATAACTACTTAAATGGAATGGCGTGGAAAACCAAAAGTGAAGATAAATCGGCGACATTGATTCTCATGATCAAATTCTTTCTATATTCTATGAGAAACATGACATATAAAAACTAAATGAAATAGTACTAAATGAAATAAAACATAATATGTTCTTTTTAAAATTGATACTATAAAAACCGACATATTTTCCACTGGCCACATCAAAAGAATGCTTTTTATTATTGTTAGTAAAACTGATTCGATATACCTAAGCAAAAACCAACAAAATTACTTAAAATAAATCAACGTATCTAAATAAATTGCAAAAACAATTAAACGCAACTTTAAATAGTAGGTATAAGTTGCTATGTGTAACTTCAAATTACCTGATTCGTTTCTGTTCCAAATGCCTGACGAATTCCGCCTCACTGGGCAACAAGAACATGACTGCAGCGCCAACTTGAGCAGCGCGTCCTGTTCTGCCCACTCTATATTCCAAATATATTAATATAAAAAGAAAATCACACGGAAACAATTCTGAACATAATTCATGATAACATAAATCTGCAATTTGCAGTTGTCTGATGTGCTGCTGTATGTACACCATGATTTTATTTAAAATATGTTCTATGGCTAATATAATTAATACTTAATTTGATACTCGAATTGACAACAAGAAACTACTGAATTCATGCACTTTATTATGTACCACTTTCGACGCAAAACCAAAAATTACCTGGCTACTCTAGGAGGTACTGATCATACTCAAGCATTGAAGGGTAGGTTTCGAAACCTTTTGTAGAGTCATATCAGAATTTATAATACGAGGGTCAAACTGAAAGTTCTTAGAAAATCAAAAACTGATTACATTAGCCAGTTATTAGTTTTATTATATATTTTCAAAATATTGTCCATTCACGTCAATACACCGCTGCATGCGATGGAACCACTGGGAAAAGCACTTTGCCCACTCGTCCTTAGGGGTCTCTTCAATGGCATCGCGATACGCAGCCACCGCTTCTTCAGCATTCATAAACCGCTTTCCTTTAAGTTTTTCTTTAATTTTTGGAAATAAATAAAAATCACAAGGCGCGAGGTCGGGGCTATACGGCGGGTGACCCAGTAATTCAACGTTTGATGTCGCCAAATAGTCGATCGTTCGCTTGGCGGTGTGCGACGAGGCGTTGTCGTGGTGAAGGAGGATCCTACTGCGAGGTCGTTTCTCTCGAACTTTTTCCAAGACAAGTGGCAAACAATTGGTAGTGTACCATTCTGCAGAAACTGTTTTTTGATCCTCTAACACAATTGTTGCAAAATGACCTATCCTTCCAAAGAACGAGGCCACCATTTTTTTTCCCGCACTTCGATCTCTCTTCACTTTAGTTGGCAACTCCTCGAAAGGAAACACCCACTGAGCAGATTGTCTTTTGGTTTTAGGATCATAACAGTAAATCCAGCTTTCGTCACCTGTTAGTATGTCGAACACAGCATTTGAGTCACCTCCGTTAAATCTTTCAATCATTTTACGACACCAATCCACACGATGGAGTTTTTGAGCCTCAGTCAAATTATGAGGTATCCACCGGGCGCAAAGCTTCCTGACCGCTAAATGTTCGTGGAGGATTTTGTGCACTTGACTCATACCGATGCCTAAGCTTGTCCGAATCTGTTGATAGGTCACTCTTTTGTCAGTCTCTATCATACGCCGCACAACACAGATGTTATCTTCAGTCGTCACCGTAGAAGGCCGTCCCTCACGTAAATCATCAGTGAGATTAGTGCGACCACGTTTAAACTCATTAAACCAGTTGTAAACAGTCGCACGAGATGGGGCTTCATCGTGAAAGGCCAATCGTAGTCTATCATAACTTTCTTGTTGACTTAAATGACATCGAAAGTCATAAAAAATCATTGCACGAAAATTTTCTCGTGTTAAATTCATGATGACGTGACACAGACAATTTTCAATTTACCGCCAAATCGTAAAACAAATGACAAATGAATGAAATATATACTCAGTAATATTGGCAAAGAGTTATATTTTCAAATTTTAGAATTATTTTTTTATTATATTGTTTATAAGTGGCCAGTTCTAAGAACTTTCAGTTTGACCCTCGTAAAAACCGTATTATAAATATCTATATAAACCGTATTATAAATTCTATTTTATATGAATCTGAAATATATACCTGTGAACATAGTCGGTAGCTGATGCTGGGGCACAATACTGAAGCACCAAATCAACTCTAGGTACGTCCAAGCCACGAGCTGCCACATCCTAACAAAATGCAGTACATTATATGTGTTGAAAGGATATGACGTAATTTCAACGCGTTACAAAAATATTCGTTCTGTATCAGAATACTGTGTAAGGTGTAGTTTTTGTACCTATGGTGTAGGTAAATGTCAGCTACAAAATGTTTATTTAGTAATATTTTATTTTACTTTATAGTAACTTGCATTTAAATTATTATTAGTTTACAATGACATTAGCGATACAAAGATGTAGATCCCGTAGGTGAAACAATTTTTAATTTATACAAAGTCAGAAACTTTGCCTTTTTATAATATTAGTATAGATAAATATAAATAATTATTCATTTGCAATTAATTGAAAACGTAAATTTTTAACCCCCTTTAACGCTCGTCGTTTCCGAAAATCCATCTATACTTATAATAAATCTGTAGAGAGGTCAATTCTGTACATGAAATATATTTCCAAAATAACTATCGGGGGGTGATTAGGGATCGATACTGATGCCAAAAATGCTATTTAAGTAACAAAGCATAAAAATATTTTTTTTTTTATCGCAATTAGTTTCTTCTTTTATCATATAATAAGAGATATTAAAATATTCGTGTAATACAAGTACTCGAATAATAAACAACATAAAAAAAAAATCATACGATAGGGTATGCTACTCTGTTTCAAATAATATTTGTAAATGTTTATGTTAATTTAAAAAACCCTTATAACAATATTTCGGGAAAATAAACACCTTTTTTGCCTTAAAATTAAATATTTAAACTTTTTTAAACCCGCTTTGATATGTACACAAAACAGATACATTAAAAGTTTTCAATAAAACAAGAACAGTGCCATCTAATGATCGAATTCGAAATAATAAGATAGAAACAACGCCATTTGATTTATAATCATTAAGCATTTTATGACTAATGTGGCAGTCGTCGCAACAGTGATGTCACATAATGGCGGGTCGTGTTTGAAGTCACGTAAAACACGGACAAAAATCACGTCTTTAATTTTAAGATAATTGATTTAAATTATCAAAATCAGAATCTATGTTTATTACGATGAAAATTTTAGTTTTTATGCAGTTTCGTGGCTTATTTTTCACTACCGAAACTACCCTATTTAGCATCATCCATCTTTATCTATCTCAATGACAGATCTCGTGATTACGTCCTATTCTAGTATAATTATTTTCCAGCGTTAAGAGTACTCCTAATCGAGTTTTAAACATTCGACACGGCTCTATCGGTAGTGAATAGGTACGTGCTCGATGTTGTGAATACAGTGTAGGAAGTCTCACATTGAACGTGTATTAAATATTACATTAACATAAGGTGTACCGTAATGGCGGATTAAATAAGCACAGGAGCTCTATTGGGCAATGATTATGGCAGCGATAGTCGGTAGCGACCGCCCGCCGCGCGAGAGATTGGCCCGTCCATTCTGACTTTATTAACTCTCGACTAAAGGACAACCGGATTGCCGTTTTCATATAATCACGAGACGCTCCGATTGAGCGTTTAATGCCAACACGTTTTTCAATATCACAACTTTAGCAAATTGAATTAAGAACATTGAATAGAAATTTTAGTAGTTTACCTTATAGAATACTCAGTATAGAATTCAATTGCAAAATAAATGACTAAGTACCAGGAGTAGCTGGGATGACGAAGTACTTGTATCTTTATTATTTTGTAAAATACAGCGTCGAAAGTAGTGTTGAACAAAGCGATGTGGGAGCATTCCTTCAAATACAACCTTTATTACTTTTTGAAGTAGGATTTATTTGATGAAGCCTCTAATGATGTGATCGAATTAGGCAATCGTCAAAATTCTCCAATCGAATTCAAGCTACTTCAAACGGATGCAAAATGTGTAGTTTCGTATTTATTACTTACTCTATTTATTTAAAAACGTACGACGAGAATGTAAATTAAAAAAAATCACTCGTAAAAATCCTCTAGCTTTTTTATTTAATGAGTAGTGTTTGAAAACATTAACGAAATGTAACAAATGATTTTAAGCCTCAGTATGCTAGAAGATAAGTTAAAAAATCGATTGCCGAAATTTGGTATTTTGTGTAACCTGGTGTACTGCGTTATGACATGATGATTTCAAAACAAATCCAACTTTGTGAAAACTTCGAGATAGAAAGAAGGTAAGTACGAAGGTAAGTAAGAACGTAAGTTCACACGGAGGATGTAAACTTAAAAAGTTTCTCACACTGCTTCTGACGTACAGAATCCTAAAATAATGTACACAACAAAATTTATCTAAACTTTTTGAATTATCTAACTAACATCTATAGTCATCGAGTAATAAAGATTACCAGTTCATATTGAACATACCATTCTGTTAGAGAAACATAATCGTTTCTCTCTAAAAATGTATTGCAACGATAGTTTAATTTTAATGACTAATTACATACTCATAAAAACTTGCTACACACTGCGAATGATAATATAATAACCAAGCTTTTGAATTATCACGGATATAATCTTGTATAGTGCGGCTACCACGCACCTGCAGCGGTCACTTTTATGGTTGCCAACAATAAAGATTTAGTCCAATTTAGAAGCTCATGGAATACGTAAAAGAAAAGCTCAAAAAAACTCCAAAAATCGCAAAATATTAGATTTCAACACGAAATTTTGATTAAAACTCATAAAAGAAATAAATTTAATTGCAAATATATTACTCTATTACTTATTTATAAATTAACATCCGGTTGAAAATTTAAAATTAAGAACGTCTCAAACTGTACTTACATGTCACTTGACCATGTTTTCATTTCTGATTTTAGTTTTTTTTTAATTATCAGTTGATAGCAGTTTAATAAAATTAGGACTTTTTGACTAGGGAAATTTAAAAACTTAAGTTATTCCGAATAATCAATTCTCAATGCAATAACCGGCTATATATGTTGACATTGATTAACAAAATATCTATAATAGTTTGTATTAGTTTATCTCTATCTTATGTATTTCAAAATTGAATTGTTTTAAACTGACCATTCTTTTCGTAATCGCTAACCGCTCCTAGCTTATGCATTGTATTTGACACAAAGGGCGTTTTTTTTTTATTAAATCGTGCTCATAAGAGTGTCTAATCAAAACCGCGCAGTCAGCAGCTTTCAGATCATTATACTCATCAAAATAAAACATTTAGTTAATGCGCAGCGGCATTTGTAACGATTATTATTTTGTGCAACTATTTAAAATGTAGTATTACGTTACTGTGTATTTTAAAACATCTATTACACAATGAATTTGCGTATGCCTTTACAACGCAGATTAAATTTAACATTCGTTATATCGTGTAGCTCGGTGGCGTAGTGTATAAGCGCCGCGGCCCACGATCGTTGTTGTTAAGCAACTTTCGCAGGGGTCGGCTACGGTATGGGTGATCAAAATTATCTCGAGGTACACCGTGCTTCGGAAGGCACATTAGATCCTCGGTCGTTAATACCCTCCAAACCGTATTGGGTCAGCGTGGAGGTTCATGGCCCATCCTGAGCCCCTGCAATGGGGACGTAAAAAACCTTGTATATATATAATATTTATCCACGATTTTATAGTGGGGGTTACATTAATAAGGATTACAAAATCGAAAATTTTATAAGTTATCACCTTTTTTTTATAAGTTATCATCTCGCCAACACTCAAAACTTTAATATCATTCATACATATCATAAATGACTGAATAGAATTCTTGAAAGGCTCATTGTGTAAGCGTTTAATTGTATCTAGAGACGCTTACGGGAGCTGGCGCGTCGGCGCTTACAGATGTAATAAATACGGATAATAGTGGTTAATCGAGGACCATTGTGTTGGAAGCTGTGGGAGCCGACAGAGACCAAACGTATGACCAACTAATAACTCCGTTCCGACAACAATTAACTACCGTCGAAAGGTGAACGGTGCGGGTCCGCTTTGTTGCTGGATTACGAACGTCTATTGGTGGCATGAATCTTATGAATTTCTTCACATTAGCTACGATGAAAGCTATCGGAGCAATGCATGGTGAATGATTAATTTCTTATTACGTGTTGCGTGTTTGATTCGTTTAGAATAAATCAAAACTGTTATTTATGATAACCGAAACAGGCATAACATAGTAAGGACGGCAGTTATTTTTGGATAAAATACAACCAGAAATATAATTGTATGATATACTCACAGATATACGATGCCTGGGTAAAAATAAAAAATTTAATGTAGTCCGTCAGTAACATAATATAAAAATATTAGATTCGTATTTCTTTCTGATTCAAGTTAACAAGAAATTACTTAGATAATTGGGATAAAGTTGAGTAGTGGGGATCATTACGTCACAACTATGTAGAAAATGTACAAATGTGCGACGTCATGCGACATTACAATTCAACGTTATGCCGTAATTTATCGATTAATATAAAAAAATACGTGATTCATATTTTTCATTAATTCACACGACTAAGAAAGAAATAATTTTTAGTCATTATTATAATTCTTTTGAAAGCAAAATTTTTTACCACATTTGAAATATTCACCATAGAACTTTCTCTGTGAAAATATACAAAAACACTTACCGTGCAAATGAGTACGCCATTCCGTGCCGCTCTAAATTGTTTGAAGACTTCCATTCTCTGTTCGTGCGGCATAGAACCGTGGAGACTGAACATTTCTAAATCGACTGGCACCAACCCTCCTTCCTCTTGGTTATTATAATCTACTTTATAATCTGAATCTGAACTATTTGAATCACTTTCCTATATAAAAAAAACAGAGACTATTCAGTATAAGTGAATACATACGTACAACAATTAACAAAATAGTCTTAATCTTTCAACTCACATTGTTATCATCATCAGCTTTTCTCTTTGTACCAACGGCTTTTTTCCCTTGCCCATTCTTTTTTTTAACTTTTACTTTATCTCCGGTCAATACAGATTCTATCAACTCTGAATGATAGTCTACCATTTCTAATGTTGCCATGAATACTATCATTTTACCTCCTTTCTTATTTAAAACACAATGTTCAATAATTAGAGAGCAAAGTGTTACTAATCTTAACTTCATTGGCACTATCAGGAATGTTTGATTTACACTTGCTGGTAGTACTAATTCATCTTCAACTATGGCTGATTTTACAGCTTTATGAAAGATGCTTTCTTTATTGTCTGTAGCAGGTTCTTCTTTGTCTTCAACTTTTACTTCCACAATTGCAGGTTTCTTTGATTCTAACTGCTTTTGGACTTTAAAATATTCGTAATCAGAATCACTATCACTATCTTCTGTATTATTTGCCATAGGAGTAGATTCAGCTTTTATGTCAAATAAATCACGATGATTCTGGCCACTAAATTCAACCAACCCTATAAAATGAAAATCTATTAGAAATCAAACAAAAAACTAACATTGAAATATAGAATCTAAACACATACCTTTCCTTTTATCTACCTTCTTCTCGTCACATGTCTTATTATGATTAATCTCAGATTCTTCTACAGGAGAGTTTTCAGGTTTAGGTTTATTTTCTTCTTTAATTTTTTCCAACATTTTATTGTTGACAACATTCTTATCTTTTAATGAATCTGCTACAACAGCTCTTCCTTCAGAAGTATCTACAAAAACAGGATCCGCCATGGTAATTCCTGCTAAATTCTCAACAGCCTATAGAAAATATAATACACAATTATTAAAGGTAACATACTATGCATATATTCAATTGAAAATTCTAGTTCTCTGACCTTGGTAAGAGTTGCTGATAACAATATAGTCTGCCTTTCCTTTGATAGAAATACCTCAGTTAGTTTATGCTTTATGTCACTTTCTGTTTCCTGTTCACTAGGAACTTGTGGTTCAGAAATATCATCAGTATTTTGTTTCATGTTTTGTTTCATCAGAGCTAAAGGGTTGTAAGTTGATGCTTTCTTATGATCTTCTATAGCTTTTACAATTGCTGCAACATCTTTTTCGTACCCCATATCTAATAACCTGTCTGCTTCATCTAATATTAGACATCTAAAAATATACATCAAATCATAAACAAATAAATATTTTGTAAAAAAAGTTTTAGCCAGAGCTTTTACGTACGCCCTGAAAAGGTAAACTGAAGATGATCATTAGTTGCATGAGACACATATTCATGAAAGGGCGAACTAAACCTTGATCTCCCATGCCCATTTAAAAGTTTAATATATTTAGCATACAATTAAGTAACCAAACTCACCCAGTTTTAGCAAAATTTAAAGATTGGGTATGTCTTAAATGGTCATTAATTCTACCTGGTGTGCCAATCAATATGTTTAGTCCTTTCCTTAGTCTTGCCTTTTCAGCTTTTCTTTTCTGTCCACCACTTAATAGACCAGGTACAAGCCAAGTGAATGGCTAAAAGAGTTTGAATAAAAATAGTATTAATCATAGTAAAAAAGGTAAAAAACAGTAAATAAAACAAAAATCATAATTCAGTATCTAGCTCACCATCTGCTGCTTCAATTAATAACTAAAGTATGCAACAACATATGTAGTAACACTGTTGAAATCCTACCCAATTAAAACCCATTAAAATAATATTTCAAGCAATGCTCATGACTGAAAGTCCAAATGAATTTGAATTTTTAATATAAATTTCATTCATGGAAAATTGAAAGAATACTACAGTATGATACACATTTATCATAATGACGATTCTATATATGGCCTCCATACCCAAGTCACTTGCATACCAGTTTCAAGGTGTGGCCATTTCTGACGATTCAATTTTTGATTAAGTCAGTGTAGAAAAGAAACTTTTCTATATAGTCTCATGACTGGCTGCTGTGGTACCACTATTGATTCTATACATATGATACGAGTGCTAACAGCTGCTTAACTTGAAGTTTCAAGCAATATATGTGACGTTGTCTTATATTTATTTTACATAATCATGTAGTCAATAGAGCTTTTGCAAGTTGTGTGAAACTGCCCACCACCACCCGATATTAAACTTTATCACATTGTTAAGGAGTTCAAAATTGATTGCAAAAATTGAGGTTCATTAACTTGTTGATATGTGTACCAAAAATGATTATACTAATGTAGGGCATAATACATAAATTTCTGATTACAATAATTAATGTCATGTCAATGATAAAAATAAATGATTTAACAATAAATGTCACAAACAGAAAAAAGCAAACAACATTCAAAATTGTTTGGTTGAATAAATGTGTTTAAATTGTGTAATGGTCTCCTACGGGAAGTTGGCAGTATGGTGGGGACGCAAAGTGCCAATATAAGTTAAAAAGAAGAAGTCTAAATAATACAATGTTAACATTAATCACAATCATTCATAAAGACAAATCACAATCGACACTGAACTATACCTATTACAATTATGTATACACTTCTTATAATTGAAATATTCATTCAAGCAATATTTGTTTACACTCTGTCAGCCATAAATGCAACTTTACAAGAAATAGCTTATTATGTTATATTTTATATCCCTGGGAATATTATTATAAATATCCATGGAAATAGTGTAACAATTCTTTTTAAAAAGTAGAATTCAAAACAGATACAGATACCCTAAAACTAAACTGACCTTAACCAGCTTTACAAATAACTCGTAAGTCTGCACCGCCAATTCTCTTGTTGGGACTACTACAACTGTTCGGATGCCATCGTGCCTATTTATTTTAGGACGAATTGCTTGCAAGCCCTCTATAACTGGCAATGCATAAGCAAGGGTCTTTCCCGAGCCAGTCTGTGATCTGTAACATTTTAGTTTTAAAAGATAAAATGAAAACAAATTGTCAAAATAAAATAATGTTTGTTATAATAAATTTTGAGTAGGATTAATTAAACTGAATGTTTTTATATTAATGTGGCAAACTTTATTAGCAGCTGTTGAAGTTTGAGTTATGAGACTTTATTATATATATTGACATGATAATGAATAAATATTTAATGTTAAAAAAAAACTATTTTGTCCAGGCAAATACAATATTCTAATATGTTATTATATTATTGTTTTTATATACTCTATTTGTGTGCCAATCATATAAATAAGCTGTTTGTCTAATAATTTTAAAATTATTTTTGTTATCCTCAAAATTTTATACCTGATCAACACATCACGACCCTGTAATATTACTGGTATCGCCTTTTGCTGTACTGTCATCAATTCTTTAAGACCCAAATTCTGTTGTAAGTTTGCTACACTGTGGGGATGTATATTTAAATCTGTAAAAGTTTTACCAGCAAACACTTTTTCCACCAAAGGTTTCACTGCCCTTTGTCCAATTTTAGGCACTTCAGGATTATTTTTAAATAATGAAGAAATCCATGTACCGCTTTTGGACTTTTGTTTTACTTGGAGTTCATCATTCAAATCCTGATAGTCTTTTCCTTGATACTTCCCTTTGTTCTCGCTCAGATCTTGTAATCGTTTGTCCAAGCTTGTAGAATTCTTGTCTGGTACTGATAATTTGGGGACCTTACTTTGTGGTGCATCTAATTTAATGTTTTTGCCAACTAAGTGTTGTGGCCGTTTTCTCGCTATAGTTTTCCCAGCAAACTGTGGTTTTGGCACAAATTTGTATTCCCCTGCATTTTCTGCATTTTTTGCAGTAAAAGATTTAGGTTTTACCTATGAAAAAGTGCATAAATAAGAAAAAACAATGGTTTGGTAAGAAATAATCCTGTATATTATAACTTACTTTTTTCCCAATTTGTATATTCAGTTGTAAATCATCCATTTTTGGCGTTTGTATTTTTCACAATTTATTTAAAATAATAATTACAACATTATTTGAGGTTACCAAAAACCTCCAAAATACACAAACGCATGCGTCTTTCTTTTCTTATCACTGTCACTGTCACGTTTTTTGACGTCATTTGATAACATAAAGGGATCTGTTTTATTCAGCCATGTATGTTCATGTAATTTTAAAAATATCGAGATAGTTTATTTATGATTGTACAGATAATGAAGATTGTTTAGAACAACAAGTAGTCTTAATCCAGTAGTGGTTATATAGACAGTCAAGAATTATGTGTGCAAAGCTCCTCCTTCCCTGATATTGATGCACTGCTTAGCTCGTGCTCGGTATCTTAATCGTTAGTGCGGTTGGTCTACAATGCGAAGGTTAGACAATTTTACAAGGGTTGTTCATAAAATGGGTGACCAAAACTTAATAATCTTTATCTTGTGTTTCCGAAGACAAGTTAAGCTTTTGTTCCAGCTGCATCTGTGGTCATACTACTCGCCAACCGTCATATCTATTCTCCCTATTCGGGTCGATTTAATTCTGTAGGAAAGTCATGTGCCGAGCAGTATGGTCTTTAACAGGCTGATGATGATATCGCATGTCCTCTTACAGCTACTACACGACGGCGCATACTTTAACGATTTCTATGGAAAAGATCGCATAGCTTCAAAATTTAGCTGTCACACCCGCGAAGCATCATTGCATTTCCCTGGTAGATCTTTGGAATAAGCCAGAAAAGTCAACAAAACAACTTAGTAAAGGAATATGGGGAAACGGCTCTAGTGACGGTCATCTTAGTTGCACCAGCGGCACAGATCAACCGATTAGCAATATACCTCCTTAGGGACCCTCCAGAACTAAGTAAGTAAATATTTTTAAGATGGAAGAAGTGGGCAACCTCGCTGGGTGTGATTTACAAATAATATTAAGGGCCAATCGCACCAGTCAGTAAAATGTACAAACAATGGGTTTATTTGATAGGAAAAAATTAAAAAAAGTCACACTTTTCAGCTATGATTGCTTAAGATAAGTAAGAAATATGACTATTTTGCTTTGATAGTATATATGTACATATTACATTTGTATTATAGATTTATAGTACTGTAAATGGAGTGTATACCTAGTTTAGCCACAAATGGTTTCTCGCTGTTTACATACATTTAAAAAAAATATTACTTTGGATTTCGAACACTAGCTTCTACGATAGGAAAATAGACATCTTTTCCGCCATTACTGTATGTTTTATGTTTAGCATTTATTTGTTTTGAAAATAGAGTGGGGCTCTAAAATGAATATATTGCAGTTATTGCACTGTACAAAGTAGATAAGGAGCCAGCCGACATTTTTGATACATTGAAAAAGCTAGGGATTAGCCGAATGGATGTGTATCGTACCATCCAAAGGTACACTGAAACCATGTCTGTTGATGACCGTGAGATTTCCGAACGACGCCGGTCTATTCGATCAAACCAGGCCGTTAATGCAGTCAGGGCTAGATTTCGTCGAAATCCTATAAGGAAGCAGAAAATCCTTTCCAGAGAAATAGTATCCCACCGAGGACACTTTCTCAAGTTATCAAAAAAGACTTAGTTCTAGGGGCTTACCGGATATACCTTAAATCAGGCACTAAAACAAAAGAGAGTCAAAAGATCAAAACAGCTGTTACTTCGATACGTGGACGAAATACACAGAAAAATTCTCTTTACCGATGAAAATTTCAGCCAAAGTGTATCAAGATACCGTGTACCAATAGAGGCGGTAGTTAAACAAAACAAAATGTGGAAATTCCAACAGGATTCAGCTCCGGGTTGTGAGGAACGAACAACCTAATTTGGCTTGAGCAAAATGTTCCAACCTTGCTGATGATTGGGCTTCGGCTAGTGCGGACTTAAACCCTATGGACTATAAATTATGATCTGTGCTAGAGGACATGACCTGCTCTAAGCGTCACCCAAATATTGAGTCAAAAAATCTTTGGATGCAGCAGTGACTAAGTTTCCAATAAAAACCTTTCGTAAATCCATCGACAAATGGCCCGACCGTTTAAAAGCGTGCTTTAAACCTAAGGGTGGACACTTTAAATAAGTAGTTTAGTACGTTAACACATCTTTTTCACTCTACATATCATATATGTATATAAAACTTTAAAATAAAATTGTTTTTTTAGAAATTATCGGATATTTTCTTTGTAACAGAACTTATGGCTAGAGTCTGGCAAGCGAAACGTGTCACAAGAAAAGGGCGGCAATTTCAAAAATTCTTAAGCAGTAAACACTGAATGTAGTACTGCAAAATAATTTTGATACTTTTATTAATTATATTTAATCTTAACATTTAGATATCAATTAAAATTATTTGTTTTGGAACATTTGACTAAAGCGTGACTGTTCTTAATTGTACAGTTAACAGCATATCAGTAGGCCTATTCACTAACTCAACTGACAACCAAGAATCGTCATCACCGTAAAAAATAGACACTTTGATTGTGTCAAAATCACTATTTCGTATTCTCTATCAATGATGAGCAATTTCGAAATGTCAATATCGGCATTCTCCACTGGACTCCATTTTGACACTTGATTTCGTATCGATAAACTGTATTAAAGTAACATTGTTGCAAAGCATATTTGAAGTCGTCGCATAGTACCTCTTAAGCCATTTGTTGTTAAATTAAAGCGAAAAAAAATACGTATCCAATATTTTTCTATTATCTGACTGACGGACTAAATCGAATCTTTTTTTTAACCCATTCGTTATACCTATTGGCTAACAGCACTTATAATATTAAAAATTCATATTTGTCATTAATTAAAAGGGTGTTTTTTGCAACGACTTCTTTGTTTTTTTGTAATGAATATGGGCGACTCTGGCCACATTTTTTTAATAAATGTGATGTTAGCCAATTTTGATTTCTGGCCCTTATATTTATAATGTGTTCATAACACATACATGTCTCCTAAGGGATTTTCATCACAACCTTTTGCTCTGATCCAGAACCACTATCTATCAAATTAAATTAGTCAATATAAACACCAGATTACAATAAAAAAAACATTTATTTTTGTTACAATTAAGTGCCATGGATAAATTACATAATACAGGTGTCACAAAATCATCATGTTAATCACAATAGAAAATTTAATATAAGATTTTGACTATGAATCAGACTAAAAATACTTTAGTCTGATTCATAGTCAAAATCTGTTTCTAAATATTCTACACCTGATAACAATGACAAGGAATCATCAGAGTCACTCTCTTCACTACTGTCTGCACCAACAGATATAATAAATTTTTCAAGTTCGTTTTCAACAATGCCATCTTTTAATTTGTAATCATTTTCGACATTTAAAACATGATCAGTGTATTTCTTCCAGTCACTAGGGGTAATTAAGTTAAAACACTCTATTATTAAGTTTTCCATTTCCTTTCCTGGTATTCCAATGTTTCTGCTTGCAATTTTTCTTTTTGCTTGACTCCAAACCATCTCTATTGGGTTTAAGTCACAATGATACGGTGGCAGCAATAAAAGTTCATGATTATGTTCTTTTAAAATCTCTTCAGCTTCATATACAGGCAATGTTTTCTTATCATTAACCAAACACATTAACTCTGCCTTTGTCTGATATTCCTCAAAATGTATTCCATTATTTACAAGCCATTTACGGATATCTGCTTTGGTATTAGACATTATAGGCGGTTTATTGATTTGTTTTATATGGTAGCTGGCATTATCCATAACAATTACACTGGGCTTACTTAAATTTGGTATTAATTTTTCTCTGACCCATTTCATAAAGTTCGATGAGTTCATATCATCATGATAATCAGCAGATTTGGATTTACTACTGAACACTAATAATGCACCAGGCACAAAACCTTCCTCAGATCCAGCATGCACAACAATATGCCGTTTTCCAGAGGATATCTTTGTAGTGACACCAGTTGTTGAAGGTCCTTGCCAAGACTTTTTAACTTTATAATTCTGATGTACATAAGTTTCATCAAGGTACACAATTTGCTTTCCTTCGTTTCGTTTTATATTTATTTCTCTCAAATACTTGTGCCTCCATGCAGAAATCTGGTATTTTTCTATAAGCATAGAACGTTCATTTTCATTGCTTTTAAAAGAAAATCCATTCTTAAGCATAATTTTTCGTAAAGTCTCACGGCTACCACTGAATCCTATTGCATCTTTTAATTCATTGTGAAGGCTTCTTAATGTTGGAACAATTTTTTTCACACAGTAAAATTCATTTACTTTATTCCGAATTGCACTTAAATCAAAATTATCTAAAGCAGACACTGTTGGTTGATGAGGTAGTTTTTTCCCAGGAGTGTCCCATTTTCCTTTATTAATTAATGCTTCATTTTTTATCCTTCTTAGTGTCCTTATACTTACATCTATAAAAGATTAAACACTTTGAAACAAAGATATGTTAAATGTATTTAAAAGCAAATAATGATAGACACATACATCAAAATAATTTAAATACCTATTCAACTATGAATGCAATTTATGTTTAATTTAGTTAAGTTTATGTGCATATTTAGCATGTATAACAATTACATGGTTTGATTAGTTTCATGAATTCTGTGAATTTCCTTGTTAAACAAAACATTCTTATGACATCATTGGATGTCAACAATAAAAACCAATACATCATAAAAAACCTATGTAAATATTATAGGAATACTATCAATCTATCTTAAATCAAAACAAGAAAAGAGACCTGTCATTGAAGAAATTTTTTGTAAGTACTGCGTTTCCGAATTCAGCATTTCTTGTTTTTCTAAAGTTTTTATTGCATTTATCTCCTCCATTATTGGTTGAATATCACCATCACAGTTATCTGAAATAGAGCAATATTTTATAAAAAATATCTGTTTAGTTAATTACAGAAAATTAAAACGAAAGTATCAAAATTATAATACAAAACTAACCTAAAAAAGATACAACTTTATCTAATCGTTGTAATTTCTCCATGAAATTTTTATTTAATTCAGTTTTCACTTCAGTAAACTTGTCAATCATGATGGAAAGAAGTTTCCTCGATGAACTTTTTATCGGCTTCGACATAATTTTTAACCAAAAACACAAGTTCAAATTCGCAAAAACAACAAAATTCAATATTCTTGAATTGTCTAACGTAGTGTCAAACTGACAGTTCTATGTTGTTGCCATATGAAAACGGAAAAATAGGTGGTGTCACGTTTCGCTTGCCAAACTCTAGACTAGTTACATTGATACAATTACCAAAGAAAAATACCAGCGTACGGGCAAGATGGAAATTTTAAGTTGATGGTGAAATGTAAAGAGTAAGAAAATGAAAGTGATAACAATAAACAAAAATATTACTGTAAAAACAAATGGAAATATAAAGGAAGGGGAAAACTGAAAATCAATACTAATATTATAAAGCTGAAGAGTTTGTTTGTTTGTTTGTTTGAACGCGCTAATCTCAGGAACTACTAGTTCGGATCGAAAAATTATTTTTGTGTTGAATAGACCATTTATCGAAGAAGGCTTTAGGCTATATAATATCACGCTGCAACTATTAGGAGCGAAGAAATAATGGAAAACGCGGACGAAGTCGCTGGCGGCCACTAGTAACAGATAAAGGTAAAGAAATAATGATAGCTCAGTTTCCTGAAAAAAAAACGTAAAAAGTACGTAGGTAGAAAATGGTTGTATTTTAAGTATTAATTGCAATACAAATATTTGTGTTATATAATCCAAATTGCCTTTAACCGTTTTGCTTTAATCTGAGATTGGTCAATCTTAGATCAGTCTGTCCAATCTGCTGAGAGTTGCTATGTCAGCCTTACAGGGCTTCATATTTGGCAGACCAATAAGAACAAAACTAATAGGACCATAGGCTTAAGTACTTTCTTGATTTGCCAAGATCAAGAAAAACAGCTATTCTTACAAACACTCAGAAAACCAACCTCAGCCTATCTATTTATCACTTTTTGTTTAAAACTATTACGGCATGACAAACTCTAGAAACGTTTTGTTTACACCCAAATATCACTTTCTCGCGTGCTGATATGCAAAATAATTGCAAAATCTATCGGTAAATATACATTGTGCTTTAAAGTTAACAATGAACCAATGTCAGTATTTATTTTGTCAGCTTGATGTAAGGATTTGTCAAATTAAGCTCTGTTAAATAAACTTATTCAATGCTTAATTAGGGACTTTTGGTGTTGTGAACAAGTTTATGCGTCTCTGGATAATGTGTTTTGCACATATTACAAATATTTATTCCACCCCATAAGCATCATCGAGCAGTGTTTGCGCGACACGAGGCGGCACGTGATCGGTGTTTAAACGGCACGTGTTCTTGAACGATGTTGCACTCGATGTGGGATCAATAGGATTATTTGTATAAAAACCCACTCATTACAGTGTAATCTTATAAAATATTTAGTAACAAATGGATCTCATTCTATCTATAAGTTTGTTTTCCTTAAGTATGTAGTAGCTTAATGAAGGTTTTGTACTATTTTATACGGTACTATAAGACGCGATTTTACAAGATTATCATTTGTTTATCAAATTTAAAATTTAACAGAAAAAGCTAAAATAATCAACGCTTCTCCCTTAAAATATAAACAAAAAATATGCAATATAATAGTATAAACATAAAAAAACTGACAAAACTCAAGTCACAGATTGGTTGTACTGTGTTATTCGGAAAGCAAAGGACGACTTTTCGATTTCGTTTGCAAAGTTACTGATTTCGAAAGTACGTGTTGATACTCAATTTTAAGTCAAATTGAGTGTGAACAGTTGAATAAAAAAGTGTATTTTGTTATTTTGTTTTATTTTAATTATAGATTTATTCTCAAGCAAACCAAGGGCTTCTCAAAAATTATGCTACAAGCCCTGCTCTGGCCTAATCCGGCACTGATTATTGGACTAACGGACTACATAGAATTTATTTTTTTACTTTTTCATCATCCATTCTTCTCCTTTTATTAACCACAATTCTGCCAACTTCACGTAGGAGACCATTACACAATATAAATACATTCAACTAAAGAATTGAGCATTACCAATTATTTCTACATGAATTTACCAAGAACAACACGTTAAAAGTTATAAATCAGTAAAATATGGTATATCAGTAAAATACACAAAAGATGAGCCTAACGTCAGACTATTTTTAGATTAACGAATGAATTGTTTTGAAGTTAGTGAGCGAAAGATAACACCACAGATGTGCAATGTTAAAGTTTACTACTGGGGTATCATTAATTAACTGAAGGTCAAACTTACTATGAAGTGGGCTAGGAATATTGGTGGGTCAAATATCGTAAAGGGAACAAGAAATATTTGGGCAATCGAAATATATGAGGTCAGATGACCCCTCATCTAGTCCATATTCACGAGGAGAGCTATCCAAAACTTTTATTTTCATCAGATGGACAGGACACTACAAGCATGACCAATCCGAAGACGGCAAATGATGGAAACTACTTTTTTTGGAATGTCCTTGAGTACTAAAAACCATGGTCTGCTAGGTATTAATAGTTAAATTTCTAAGTAACTCTTGCCTGCTTTCAACTCAGTTTTTTGCCAATCTAAGGTTAATGAGTGAATTAATAATCGCGAGAACGAGAAAATAGCATTTGATCCATAAGGGGTAAGGGTAACTGGGAATTCCAAAGGAAATAGCCGCTTTCGCGCAAGAATCTGCAGTCTCGTTACCAATGATCCCACTATGCCCATTGGTCCAGGCAATTAATAATAATAATAAATATTCTTCATTGCACAATAGAAAAGAGACAAATACACAAAAATCTTACACAAGCAATGTACAATAGGCGGCCATATTTCTGCCAGGCAACCTGACAAAGTACGGAAATTTAACTAAGTATAATTAAAATAGCAGATAGTTCAAGCTTAAAACAACGAAATAACACGGACAAATAGAACAAATATTAGCATACATTGAAATGACAAAACTAAAAAGTATACAAAGCGTGAAAGCATACTAACGACAAACAAAGTGCAACATGTGGGGGAGGAAAGAGAGAAGAAGCGAAAAAAAGAAAAGGGAGGAAGAAAGGAAAGGAAGATTAATCTGCAGACAGGTATAAAGATTTTAGCAGCGATTTGAGAATGTCTAAATACTTTGCCTGTCGTATTGACTCGGGTAAGGAGTTCCAGAGTTTGGTGGCCTGTAATGTAAATGAATTGCTGTAAAATTTAGACAGATTAGGAGGTGTATACAAACGATAATTATTAGAAGAGCGAAGAGATAGATCATGAGAAGATGAGAGAAATTTAAATCGAGTTTTAAGATAGGAAGAAGTCATAGGGTTGAACAGTATCTAGTAGAGAAGAGAGAGGATATGCATATCCCTACGTCGACGGATGGGAAGCCACTGGAGTTGCTTACGGAATGCGGAAACATGGTCATATTTACGTAAGCCAAATATAAACCGTATTGAGAGATTTAGAGACGTTCAAGATTATTTAGAAGGTCTACTGCAATTACTAACCAATTACTAACCGAGTTAAGATGTAACCTTATCATTACATCTTAACAAAGATTCTTTTATTTTAATAATGGTTGGAGAACGTAACTTTGATCGGAATTAATTAACAATAAGAGCCTAAAGACAGCTTTGTGTATCAGACAATATTGTTTTATCTAGGTTGTGAGATTCTACATATAAAACAGCTTCCAAAACAGCGATAGTCTCTCCAGTAAAAACAGATGACAATATTCCGTGGGAGAGCCACGCTTCGGCATGAATGGGCCGGCTCGACCGGAGTGATACCACGGCCTCACAGAAAACCGACGTGAAGCAACGCTTGCGTTGTGTTTCGTCGTGTGAGTGAGGGTATCGGAGGCCCAACCCCTCCCTATTCCCTTCCCTCCACCCCTCAACCATTCCCTCCCTATGATCATATTCGTCCCTCAAAGGCCGGCAGCGCGCTTGCAGCCCCTCTGGTGTTGCAGGTGTCCATGGGCGACGGTAATCACTTACCATCAGGTGATCCGTCTGCTCGTCTACCCCCTATCCCATAAAAAAAATGGAAACTGGAAACTTAACACTGTTTTATATTATGGGAACCACACGGCACTACTAATATGACCGTTGACGGAAAGCCTAGAGCCGTCCGTACATATATATTTATATATTCCACTTCCTATATTTATATATGTCCTTTTATTCCACATAGGTAAACCTATGTAAAATGAAAGTGACATGAATGAAAGGTGAATAATAACATCATCTCTATTGACAGTTCATTTTTGAGATTAAAACCTTTTTCTGCTTATTGATAAGTTGACAATTTGTACTTCTGTCAATTGTCAAAGTCTTATCATACAAATACTACACCAAAATATAAGGCGATATATTAAATATTTATTCTGATATTATATTTAATCGCTGTCATATATAACAAGGTACAACTGTAAATAATGGCATTAAAACCGACAACGTGTAAGGAGGCAATAGCTCGCTGGGAGAAATTGAAAGGAGAAGTGGCTGCAGACGCTACTGTGATAGAGTTGCAGTTCCAGTGGCCACCAATCGAAAAAATGGATGGTGCTCTTTCTACACTCGTTGCTTGCGAGTAAGTACAATATTAACACATAAGCTTACCACAAAATGTCTTCACATCTTGATATCTTCTGTAGGTGATATCAAATCATAGATACTAAGTAATAAAATCAGGATTGTTGTAGAGTTATTGTATTTTGTGAAGTGAAAACAAAAGCAAGAAAAATAATGAATGCTTTTATGTCTATCAAGCATTTTTAGAATAACATTTAGTTCCCGTCTTTTTCATTGCTTTTTAGAAAGTTAAGTTTGTCATCGAACATGATAGACAAGATTGTTGGTATCGCAGGAATGAGAAATCTGAAGATATTATCGCTGGGTCGAAATTATATAAAATCATTGGCCGGAATCGTAAGTATTTAAACACAACATAATTTTTAAATCATAACTATACCTATAATAAAAAACTAAAGCTGTTAAAATTTTCTCTATACATATATTTTCATATACATATATTTTCTCTATAAATTTTCTTTCGTCCGCGACTTCGTCCGCGTGGTTAAGTTACTTTGAACAGCATTTCTGACGAATATTTATTCACTATATCGTGTAAATACCTAAAATATAGTTGCATCCCCTATTTTATCCCATTAGGAGTGTAATTTATCAAAATCCTTTCTTAGAGGATGCCTACGTCATAGTAGCTTTAAGCATGCAAAGTCTCAGTCTGATCGGTTTAGAATTGACAAAGTTTCATACAAATTTTCATCCCCTATTTCATCCTCTTGGGGGTAGAATTGATCAAAATCTTTTCTTAGCGGATGCCTGCATCATAACATCTACCTGCATGCTAGATTTCAGCCAGATCCGTCCAGTGGGTTGGGCTGTGCGTTGATAGATCACTATGTCAGTCATTCACCTTAGAGTTATATATATTTAGATTACATGGAACTTATTAAATAAAAAACTGACCATCCAATACCATACATATGAATTAGTACCTACACGAATTTTTCTGTACGTTATGATTAGTGATATACCGTACCCGGGTATATTGCCAAGGACTGGAAACGTTGTTGGAAACATTGCCGGCACCATGCCCAAAGTGGGAATTAAGGAGAAGTATTGGGTAAATTTTCTTTATTTATTAATTACTAGCTTTCCGCCAGCGGCGTCACCCGTGTAGTCCCTATGAAACAATTTAGCGGGATAAAAAATATCATATTATCTAAGTCAGCTAATACCCTATCTGTATACCAAATTTTATCCAAATCTGTTCAGTAGTTTCGGCGTGATTGACGGATAAACATCCAAACAAAGAAACTTTCACATTTATAATATTAATAGGATTTTATTGGAATTGAGGTTATTTGATGATAAAAAAGTAGGCATTAAAATTTATTAATGAAAATTCCCAGAAAGTTTTCAAACTTCCCGGCAAAAATACCAATGAACTTCCCAATGGTGAATATATAAGTAATTAATTACTTATAAGATACGAATCAATTACTGGTCAGCTCTTTCAGTGGAGCTTTTAGTAGCATTCTGTATTCAGATGTATTTTTTTTCGTTCATACTTTCCAATTATGAGCTAGGTAGCAGATTTTGTTGCTCTTTCTGTTGTAAATTTGTTTTCTTTTATTAGTGACATGGAAGGTATCTTATAATAAGCGTAATTATAATTTGGAAAATGAAAAGTATACCACGCACGATAAATTTCGTCTTTTTTCATTTCTGAATATGCACTTTTAAACTCGAGTGTAGTGTTTCAAATAAGGTAAATCCTTCTCAAATTTTTGATGTAATATACATATCGACTAGAAGTTTATTTACTACATTTTATGACAATGGCGGAGGAATTTGTGACGATATTGCTTTGAATTAAAGTTTGACTAAAGTAAGGACTTACTTACATTATTTTAAATTCAAAGTCAGCTCAATATTTTAAATTAAAACGTTTTAATATTTAGATGTTTCATACCTCGTCGCTGAGAAGCAGTTTGAAACACAGATTCATAGCGTGGATAATAATAATAATAAAAATATCATTTTATTTATTTCTTATACATTTTCCAAAGAGCAACACATGTGTACCATACGTAAATTCAGCAATTTTATGTAGAAGACAGGACTTTAGCTAGGTAGGACACCTGACTTCCCCCTCTTGTAATTTTAAACACAGTGTCATTTTAAATAAAAATAAAATAAACAATAAAAAGCAAACAAAGTACCACTGTAAGTGAGAGAGCATATGATTGGATGCAAGTGTTTGTATAATATTTTACACATAGGATAGGTATTTTCTTATTGCTCTAAAAGTTTCTTGATGTATTGTGTTTCCAAACCCCAAGAAAAAGAGATTTGAGTATAAAATTTGTAAAAATTAGTGGATAATGTGAATAGTTAGAAAATATGAATAAAATTGAGGACGCCTACCCCGGACCACGTGCGGGGGTTAGCGGAACTGCCCTGCGAATCTGTAAAAATCCAAACCCGAATTCGAATTCACTCAGGTGTCCGGATTCACTTCAAAAAGCGGCATCCGCTCAACCTTGAATTGGTAAGAAGTGAGTTTCGAAATGATATAGGAATAAAATATCTGAGACACGTATATTCAATCAATTATGTTTTGTATTTTTTACAAAATAACCAATAACCATATTTTTAAACATGTACCATCAAAGTAGCGTTCATAGAACACCCATTAAGTAAATAATAAATTTAAAAAGAACTTAGGTAAATTGTTCTATATCATATTTAGTAATGGATCTGTCGGGTCTATAAGTTAAATAAGTTTTGTTTGTATATAAATTGTAAACGACTGTTTGTTTTCCTAAATAAATAAAATATTTCAATTTAATTTAGGAAACCGTAGCTGACACTCTTGAAGAACTATGGATCAGTTACAATCCAATAGACAAATTGAAAGGAATTGGTTCACTTAAGAAACTTCGTGTGCTCTACATGTCTAACAATTTGATAAAAGAATGGGTAGAATTCAATAGATTACAGGTAATTAGTCTAGTTCAAAGTAAAATTATATGTATAGGACTATGGCGTCTTGGTTAGCGCGTTCGGTCTGCGATATGGTTATTAAGCAACTACGCAATGGCTAGGTAGTACAGGATGGGTGGCCAAACATTTTTATCTATATTCCCTCTGTGCATCGAAAGGCACGTTAAGGCCGTTATTCCCGGCTGCATCTGTAGTCGTTAATACCCTACAAACCGCACAGGAACCGCGTCGTGGTTCATGACCCATTCTCCCTAGTCGATTCCAAGACCAGAGCCTCAACAATAAGGACATAGACGATGATAAAACATCATCGCCTGGTGATGATGAAACATTTTACTACACAATCTTGGCACATAAACTTGTAAAAACCTTACATAAATGAACCCGTCCTAAAGAAAGATAACTAGGATTATTTATTTATTAGTCCAAAATATAAATAGGTAAGCTTTCAATTAAAAACGTATTTAATTTGTTATTTAATCAACAGGAATGTCCAGCACTCAGAGATTTGGTCTTCACTGGTAACCCGCTTTGTGATAACCAGCCTGACGTAGATGCTTGGCGCACTCAAGCATCCAACCGCCTCCAGCAAATAACAAAACTCGATGGTATCCCTATAGTTAGAGAAGCCTAAAGAAATGAGAATAACTTTATTGCCTTTAAAATAGGTACTTTTTCTTTGGTTATTCAATTAAGAATATCACAATAAGTCAATTACACATATACAATATAAAATGTGTCTGTATTCTCTAAACGTCAACTCAGTGTTACTTTGATTGCGTGACACTTGCCGTAACAATGGTTAATAGTAGTTCACTTTCTTAGGATACAAATTACGATAATACCCAAAATAATAACGCCGTAGCATCGAGCCACCTGCTTGACATTTATGACAGATTATGACACTGGCAACACTAATAGCCTCCACACACGCCATCTATCTATTAGATGACGCAACTAATACAAGACAGCACTAAGATTGAATTTCATTAATCGAATAATGATTGCGAAGGACAGATTAGAGATTACAAACGAATTCTGTCATTCATGAAGCGATAAAGGGCTTGTTGTCAAAACGATCTAATTTTACTTCGTTGCCTTAATATAAAGTTTCCCATTATACACTAAAACAAATAGGTAATGTTAATATAACTTCTACATAAATACATACTTCTAGCATTACCAAATTTTCTTATACTCTATTGATCATAATCATATTACTTACATAAAACCCATACCCCGTTTATATTCTTTTAAGCATAGAACATTAAAATGTCTATGCTATCGTATATCTGACGACAAGAGCTGTTTATTTTATGTGAAATCGTTGCAGCATCCATGTGAATAGACCTCTATTATGCGTCCGGCTTTATAATTCGTCATACGTCTCAAAGGCGACTTAATAGCCTGCTTAATTCGTGGCAAAAGGAAATGCGAATTGGTGGGGGACACCATTACGCGAAAGCCCTCTCAATAGACGCGCGGATGGCCCTATTGTGTTGCCACTAATAAAATTTAATGATGTAAACGGATAGCGCGAATTTATCTAACTCTAGAGTATTTGGGGAGACGTCTCTGAGGGGAAATCAATTAACTACATTGTAGTTGTAGAACAAATTGAGTTACTTACGTTAGTATGTTACACGATATTGTTGTCCATTTACCAAGATTTGAGATGATAATACCAAATAAATAGTTTTAATTCTCCCTTTTTATTTGTATGTAATATTAGAAACGAATAACGAATTAAGGGTTGTTGCAAATCTGACGGCATACGACAATAAACAAGTAGCACATTGAAGTATGGATTAGTAAGCGACGGATCTTCCGGCGGCAGTGCAAATTTAATGTCATTACTTTTAATTTATCAGACTGGCGCAGCCAGTCTTCGCCATAACTGATGTCCTAATTGATCTATCACAGTGAAGCCCTGAATGATTTGTCATTATCAGTTCTGCGGTAGAGCTGCTGACATTCCGCGTTTGACGATATGCGACATATCTAGATACCACATAGCTACTGACCCCTGAGGAAATGTAAAAAGCTTATTAACACATTAGATCATATTAAGATCACGAACATTGTAGGAAACTTACTTTAGTTTAAATAAAATGAGAATTTTATATCTATTACATTACAAATCTGTCTCCTGCACACTTTTTCACTCTTACTGATTGAGGATCACGTGTTCTGATTCGTTTGTCTGTATTATATTTAAAGTATTTAATTCATGTATTAGTTTATATTTTAATAAACATTTCCTAAGAACTATGGACATAAAAATATCTATTTTCATACCATGTACTTATACTTAACATAATTTGTATCTACAATTCTACATATGGCACTAAAGATATTAAATAATTTAATGGAAAACCGGTCAATGTGTACTCTACGAAATGGACCGATAATTGTCCACCCAAACAGAAGTAACTCTGTTAATCACAATGTCGCTCGCACCTTCCCCACTCACAATTCACTAAAACCCCCAGTACAGTACACACATGCCATAGTACCACCAATACCATTATTATTTAATTATTAACATTTCAGTCGACCTAATTTTGATTTCTATTTGACGTTTCGATTATGTGACACGTTGCCTGAGGCGGGCAGGCATTTTGAGACATCTGTCCTGCGATGTGTTACCAACTATAAAATTCAATTTCCCCAATCGGCTAACTCGACGCATTTATTATTCATAGACCAGTACTAGACGCACGGCCGCTAACAGATGTGATCTTTTACGTGAAGTGATATCAAAAGATGACGTCCGTATAAAAGGCAATGTTCAGGGGGATATGAATTTAATATAAGGTCGTGTGAATCCAATTCGCAAAGAAATCCAATAATGTACAGGGAAAATTGAACAATACCTACCTACTACTTTAAAAAAGCCATTCAATCGCGTGACACATGGGTGCAGTCGCGGAAAATTGAGTTTTCGTTCAACTGTACTTGAAAAAGCTATCAATTTTGCACAATTCGGATTACTACATGATTGGTAAACGTCTACGGGTCACGCCATTGATCATTTAAATACTTAAACTCCATATCCATTTCCTTTAATGACTATATCGTAGAAGCTGGTGACCACCACTACCAATTTAAATGTATGATTGGAATCATACGGTGCGCAAGGCCAATAAATCAATCTATGTCGTCGGTAATGCACGATCCATTTGCTCACATTTATCTTAATTGCTGTTAGCGCCGCCCAATGGCCACATTAGGCTGACGTCTGAAACGATCCGCCCACTCTCGACTCTATAGAGCGAACTGTCTGACGTGTACCGGCTTGACTCCGGCTATTTTACTGTAATGGCTGATTTTCTAGCTCACGACACGTAGCTACGGCAAACGGGCGCGCTTACGCCACTCAAAGGCGGAGAAAATGGCTTAAGTGCTTTCTCTATTATGCTTAAGGTCGTTCGTGAAAAGGATAATTTTCAACTCTCCAGCGCCCCCGCCCTAACCGGATGTTAGAATTGTATGGATAAGACTGTATTTAATTGCAGATTCAATTTGTTTTTTCTATATAGAAAGGATGTTATATATTTCAAATATTAATAACCTACTTATGAGTCTATTTATTTTTAGCCATGGTCGAAAGAAATACCGAAAATCACAATTATGCAAATAAACATTGGAAAATCGTAGTAGCCATGAAAGGGGTTAAAGCTCTACCACTCTAAATAATACATTATTTTTTGTAACTGAACAATTTTACCAGTTTTTTCAATAATTATATTTATCTTAACGCCAAAAAGCATTAAAATAAATGCTAGGTTAAATCTTGCTTAAGTATTCTAACAATTTATTTAAATCTATTCATTTGATACAAATATTCAAGATATATATGTATATGCTGCACAAAGGTTTTTCTTAAAGAAAAAAGTTTAACTTTATTATTATGTGTAGTTCACACTTGTCCAACGTATATTTATATAATATATTTTTAAGTCGGGCAGCCTATTGTAACGCAAGCAAGGGTCGCGGATAAAGCTTTCACAACAAACAATAGTTCCGGCCCTTTGTCGCCTCTCGCTAAGTAAACATTAGTAGTTACGCCACAGAATAACGATGGGATGAGGAAAATTTATAACAATTTCACTTTTTTTCCTTTCTATTTCTCAGGCAGAATTATCAGCAATTTTAGGTAATAATAGCTCATTACAATTAAAGCATCATAATTATCTAATAGTGGAACTCAATCGATCTATTTTTTAAACAAAACTTCCTGCAGTTTTTCTTCATGTATTATAGTAGATTACAATTTTGCATTAATTATAAATTAATTGCACACCCACAAGATGCATAATACAAGATACATAATTATTAGACATGTTTCAATTTCAATTTTTAAGTAAACTAAAACAGATATGATTGGTTAAAATACTGTATTCCTTTGAGTTGTCCTCCAATATTGGAATCTGGCACAGTATTTCATTTTATTTTATTTAGTTAAATATTTCTATTTGTTAGTCATCAATTATTGAAATAAATTATTTATTTTATTGCTCTTATATACGTAAAATTGCTTTCTTTCTTCTTTCTAGACATTATAACGACATAACCTCAAAATCATTGTTAGAAATTGATATTCTCAAACTCCGGTTTTTTTTCCTACTCATTCTAGAAACAATTATCGTTTACCATTAGTTTAAAGGACGTGCATTGTTACGCAAAAATTTCCAAATTCTCACAGTAAATTGCCCATTCTCCTTTTAAATCAAAACTTGTGACATAATGATAAAAAATTTAATAATTATCACACACTTGAATTGATCTCTATAATTTTTTTTTTTTTACATTTTACTACTTCGAACTAGTCGTTAATAAAACGTACCTATTTCAATAGATGATTTCAATTATATTCCAACGGTATAATTCTATCGAAATATGTCAATTAAAATCAGAATACAATTTTATAAAAATTGTTTATGTAATTAAATTTGAATATTTAATTTTAGATTGTTACCAAAGATTAGTGCTAAAACCGTAAAACATAATTCTAAACCGGGAAGTCACGATCATGCCATAAATTACTGTTCCAACATTAACACCTACTTTCCATAATAGCCGATAAACCAAATTTAGTTTTCATGTTACGCACCCTCCACAGCTACTTATAATAAGCAATGATCAATGGAGAATAATCCTATTGTGAAGTACGCACACAAAAAAAACCATGTCTGAATTATTCCGCTACGCTCTCGCGCTAATATCTCCATTACATTAGAGTTGCACCTCATTGTTACCACAACTCATGAAAGGATTACGCGCGAAAATGTTGACAGTTGTCGATGAGTCAAAAGAACAGTGAGAGTTCTGAAATATAGATAATGGGTTGTGTTTATTTAATTTAAAGCACTGGCAGCATAGAATAATGGAGTATTTTCGCCGGCGGCAGCGGGCGTTTCGACTTGAACCGAACCTCCTCGGGGCAATAAAATTAATGAAGCGTAGAGATGGGACCATTTTACTTGTATTATTCGTCTCCTGCCGGCTGAGACTGAAGCGAATGTCCATTAGTTCTGTTTTAACATGTTAGCGAGGTTGAAACATTGTAAATGCGATTTACTTTACAGAGAGGGTGGAAAAGTAGCCGAAGAGATTCAAACGATCAATAGTTGAGACGATAGGGGACTAATACACATTCTTATGACTCACATTCTTGAAATGGTCCTTCTAGCGTTCAGCTCGTGTCAGTCCAATAAGATCATTGTGTCATCTCTCTTTTGAGTGCAATAACTAAGTTTACATTTGTAGATAGCTAGATTGTTCTCATAAAATAGATTATAAATATAATTTATAGTATTATTTATTTATTACTGTTATTGGAATTATTGAGTAACGTTGCTCTATCTCGGTGAATTAAAAACTGTCCGGTTCATTTCATAAAAGTGAAATTGAACGTTGTTTTATCGCCATTTTTATTTCACCGTTGAAAAGAAACAATGGACGCATTACATCGCATTAGTGGTGATCAGATATCGCGGCTGCTAAGCGTCATGTTCTCGCGATATCATCTTAATCCGCGAAATTTAGCCGCCCCTTAAATATTAGAATTTGTGCAGAGAGAGCTTTTATTTCGAACATTGTTCATATTTAAGTACATACTTTTATTTTGTGAGCGCAATGCCAGTTTTCACTGTACTTAGGTGCCGCTCAAATTTGTCGCCTAAATATTTAGGAATCGCCTAAAGTGAAATACATTTCACCAATGTCTAGGACCACCTAACGGCATTAAACAATATCTAAAGTTATGACAAGCGTTAAGGTTGTTCCTAGACATTTGCGTAATATGATATGAGACAAGGGATGAAATAAAAAAGAAATTTATTTGGAATTAAACTGCTTAGGTAATTACTAGTTAAGCTATGCCTTGTTCTAGGTGTTATTAGTTCATTATGATTCTATTACTATTATGTTAGTCTCTTGTGTTAGTATCAGTAGGACTTTTTATCTATTGAGTAATGGGTTGATTACATTACTTAATAGGATACTAAATGTAACCGAACATAGAATAGTATCCCTAATATGGAATACTATTTGTTCCTAAAAAGGAAATTTTTGAATTTTCAATATGTCCAGCAATAATGTGATCTACTTGCCGATTCCCTTAGCTTATTCCAAAGACTTCTTTTCCATTATCTGTATTTCTTTAAAAACAAATATTTCATAATATTACATATTTGATTATTTTCCTGTAACTTTAAATGAATAGAGATCTACAAACAACAGACATTTTTTATCTATTGGTTAATCAATCTTTCCAAGAAGGTATCTTCCCAGGTAGCTCCAAAAAATCTATTATAATGCCATTTCATAAAAACGGTGTAACATCGGACACTAACAATTATAGACCGATTGCACTACTACCTCATACCTACCTATAGTATACTCATTCTATAAAATTTTAAATGTTTCCATGATAATCAAAACGGTTTTCGACATGACAAAAGCCTATGACATCACAGTTTCGCAGATGACACTGCCATCCTGGCGCGAAACAAATGCCCCAATGAGGCCTCACTGAAACTGCAACGCAGTCTTTACGCAATAGAAGCTGGCCAAGTGCAGAATAAAAGCCTATGCTGCAAAATCAGTACTTGTGACTTTTACTCTTCGGAAGGGAAAGTGTCCCACAGTCTCACTACGTAAAGATGAACTACCTCAAAGCGACTGACAACCAGTTGCACAAACTGGATGTTTGTGCAACTGACAATCAGCTCGATACCTAGGAATATATAGGATATCTAGGCTCGATATTTAGACAGGAATATTTTTAATATGGAAAAATCACATTAAAACCAAACGAGATGAAACCATCCAAATGAACTTGCGGTGCAGTAGTAAACTACTCGCGTGGCTAGGCGAAGACTAAAAAGTCGGGAGGTTCTTGAAACGGACGCACCTAAATAGTAACTAAGGAGAGATCTTTCTAATGAGAAAACCAATCTCTCTGTCAAATATGCTTGTACCAACACATCTATTCATAGTATCCCAACTAATCGAATGATACATCACGTGAAAAAAATGTTACCTGATTTTTCCGCAGATTGTTGACCGATTTTCATTTTTTTAATTATTTAACAGCTTAATGGCCCGAGGTAGCCCCTTATCAATTTTATCCAGATCGAATCAATAGTTTTCTTTTTATAACTAAACAAAACATGCTTTTCATCAAATATCACCTAAATATTTGGATAACAATCACGTTTATATCAGAGAAAAAAAAAAGATTACATGTTTTGCAGTCAATAAAAATCCGAAAGGAGCATTTTCTATATTCAACGGGTATGTATATTTTTTCATGTACTCGTAAATAGATGTGTTCATCGATTTCTTCTTGAATTGTGAACCAATTTTTATCAAACTTGCTGTTTACCTGCGACTTCGCCTGCGAAAGTTATATATATGTCCTCGCGTATTATATTGCTTCCTGTAGATGAAAGAATTTTATAATCGGTCCAATTGTTTCGAAGCCTATCCAATGCAAAGCAATCAAATATTATTATGTCGAGCAAATAAACAAAATTTCCTTTCTTAAGACTTTCAATATGTAAAATCATACGAGGGTCAAACTGAAAGTTCTTAGAAAATCAAAAACTGATTACATTAGCCAGTTATTAGTTTTATTATATCTTTTCAAAATATTGTCCATTCACGTCAATACACCGCTGCATGCGATGGAACCACTGGGAAAAGCACTTTGCCCACTCGTCCTTAGGGGTCTCTTCAATGGCATCGCGATACGCAGCCACCGCTTCTTCAGCATTCATAAACCGCTTTCCTTTAAGTTTTTCTTTAATTTTTGGAAATAAATAAAAATCACAAGGCGCGAGGTCGGGGCTATACGGCGGGTGACCCAGTAATTCAACGTTTGATGTCGCCAAATAGTCGATCGTTCGCTTGGCGGTGTGCGACGAGGCGTTGTCGTGGTGAAGGAGGATCCTACTGCGAGGTCGTTTCTCTCGAACTTTTTCCAAGACAAGTGGCAAACAATTGGTAGTGTACCATTCTGCAGAAACTGTTTTTTGATCCTCTAACACAATTGTTGCAAAATGACCTATCCTTCCAAAGAACGAGGCCACCATTTTTTTTCCCGCACTTCGATCTCTCTTCACTTTAGTTGGCAACTCCTCGAAAGGAAACACCCACTGAGCAGATTGTCTTTTGGTTTTAGGATCATAACAGTAAATCCAGCTTTCGTCACCTGTTAGTATGTCGAACACAGCATTTGAGTCACCTCCGTTAAATCTTTCAATCATTTTACGACACCAATCCACACGATGGAGTTTTTGAGCCTCAGTCAAATTATGAGGTATCCACCGGGCGCAAAGCTTCCTGACCGCTAAATGTTCGTGGAGGATTTTGTGCACTTGACTCATACCGATGCCTAAGCTTGTCCGAATCTGTTGATAGGTCACTCTTTTGTCAGTCTCTATCATACGCCGCACAACACAGATGTTATCTTCAGTCGTCGCCGTAGAAGGCCGTCCCTCACGTAAATCATCAGTGAGATTAGTGCGACCACGTTTAAACTCATTAAACCAGTTGTAAACAGTCGCACGAGATGGGGCTTCATCGTGAAAGGCCAATCGTAGTCTATCATAACTTTCTTGTTGACTTAAATGACATCGAAAGTCATAAAAAATCATTGCACGAAAATTTTCTCGTGTTAAATTCATGATGACGTGACACAGACAATTTTCAATTTGCCGCCAAATCGTAAAACAAATGACAAATGAATGAAATATATACTCAGTAATATTGGCAAAGAGTTATATTTTCAAATTTTAGAATTATTTTTTTATTATATTGTTTATAAGTGGCCAGTTCTAAGAACTTTCAGTTTGACCCTCGTATATAGATATTTAATATGTTTAGTATTACCTATTACATAAAAAATATCAATATCACTAAAAACATCAAATACTTTGTTTTTTAAAATAGAAAAGATTAAAAATTAGAATCCTCTGCCGACTTCGACTTCAATAGAATTATAATTGAAGTATATTTTTTTAAAGGTGAAGTCGATTCCATTATTTGTAAAAAAAAATTACTCAAAACCATTGCAACATTAGCACAACACGAGCTAACCGGCGTGCACTCATTACACGAACATTTGCCACCACTATTAGCATATCAAATACGTTATCAGATGCAGTGCCACAGACCGCTGCACCTAATGCGCGAGACAATAACGCGATTAGTGAAATAAATACTGTAACAAGAGCAGAACAACCCGACGCGGTGCCATTTACAGATCTTATCGTAAAACGTAATGGACTAGCTGCCGATATCGGCGATCTCCGTTCAAATCGTTGGAAACCACTTTCCGGCATTAAATTTTTCACTGTTAGTGTACCAGTGTGACTCGTATGTGAGTCATTCAACTATTGTATTATAATACATATAGCAGTTGTAATAAAGTAGCAATTCATATATCAACCACAATTTGTAGCTATGTATAGTTCTAGGCTCGCAAGGTGTTGTTAAACTGAAGCATGATGTTGGTAAACGCAAACGTTAAGTGAACTGGGTTTGCGTTAACATTTTCCTTAGTTTAAAATTGGTTATCTTAAAATTACGAAGTCATTTATCGAATATAATTGTTTTTCCTCATAATTACAGACATGTTCCAATGACTGGCTCTTTGATAGAGTAAGCAATAATAATAAAACACGATTTAAACTCACTATGCGGGCTCAGTGCGGCTAGTGGGCGGTGATAGGTTTTTTATATGACCCTCACTGGGTGAAGAATATGGGATCCTGCAAGAGAAGATGGGTTGTGGACTACTTATGACCCAACATGTTGTTTTAGACCAGTCATTTTTTATTAATGTTTTAATGAGTTCACAAAATTATTTCGGTACGTAGTGCCTCCATCCACGTAGATATCTACTCCTAATTTGCCAACATGACACGAGAATGATAAACTTTTATAGGGCTGTTACATAACAACAATAGACACCAATACCCCCAATCTCGGCAAACTAGTACGTATTTCCATACAAAAACTTCTATTTCCCGAGCTAAATGGCACGGAGTCTCATAAAACTGCGGCAAACTACAGCAACGAGACTACGCGCCATTCTCTTTTATTATTTCACCCTTTGCGAGCAAATGGGTACATAACTGCAATAGGCTGCTTTTGCTACCAGTTACTGCTTTGTGAATTTTACATAGCATAAATTTAAAGACGATGTTTACTGGAGTAAGAATCGTTATAATATGTGTATCTACCTATATATATAAAAGCGAAAGGTTACTCACTCATTCACTCATCACGAAATCTCAGAAACTACAAGTGCTAGTTTCAAATTTTGCATGCGAGTTCTGTTTAGGACGTAGGTGCTCACTAAGACGGGATTTTACTAAGGGGGTAAATTAGGGGATGAAAGTTTTTATGGAATATTCTATATTTCTGGACTTAAAACTAGATCACGTAGACGAAGCCGCTGGCGAAAAACTAATAAAAAATATTGGGTTCCTACAATACGTTTATTCAAACTTTTGACTTTTATTATCGGTTACACCCAAAGTAGGTACTACTTATTTAAAGTTTTATTCTCTTATTTTTTACCAAACAGTTAGTATACCTATAAACATTTAATAGAAGATCAATCGTTTTAAATCTTAACGAAAATCTTCTCTCGTATATCACACGTCGATATCAACTCGAGCCTACCGACTTATGGCATCTCCAAGGAAGTGATTTGTCAGCGCCGCCCCCTCTCGATTGAATAATTCAAATAATCGAGGTATTTATATGTAAATAGCGGGCCACATCTCCATACGAAAGGGCCGATCGGTACATAAATTTGGCAAGACGACGCGAAAACTGCGACGCACCACCGATCTGATTTATTCGACAACTTTGAGAAAAAGTGGCTCGCGTCAGGAAGTGTTTGTCTAATCGCGTTTATTGCCCGACTCGGGATTTTGCGCCCCGTAGCACATAGGGGTGAACCTTACTGTCCCTACCTACATAACAAATAACTACGCGACCGCCTTTTTGCTGAGGAGTTATCGATGTTTGCGCAAACTTAGTCACGAAAAACGTTGATGAATGATTGTTTGAATACTAAAGAGTGGTCATCTAATAAGTCATTAGTGTCATGAACATATTACTTAAATGTATAATTATTTAATTTTACCCAAAAATCAAAATGAATGAATAACCGTTATTGTATATTTGAAAATAGGAAGTCAATAGAATTAGATATTACCAGCTGAGTCCTTTATTACGCACGACTAGACAGGGAAACAGTGAAATAGAATTTGGGAGAATGTTTCTGCTACTATTACTCAAACTAACGGGATCTGGAACTCGGCATCATCAATCATGGTTGCGGCACGCAGATAAAGTGTTAATAATCGACGCTAACGCCATATTGTTCATAATTTAGTATCTATCTGGTAGGGCGGATATGTTCGCAATACAAATTGCTAACGTCATATTTCCTCCCAACTAGTTACTCAGCGTTTTAACAAATGTCTTAATATTACTTTACTTCTTACTAAAACGTCAACTCAAATAAGGTAAATGAATGAGAGGGAAACTTTTCACGTTCTAACATGAAGACTTTTTTAAAATATTGAAATCTATTTGTGTATCTATATCTTCGAGGCTCAAATAATTTCAAAAAGTTCGCAAGAAGCGGTCATAGAATATTTAACCAAAAATCTAATACCATTCTAGAGTTCTTCCGTGCTGCGGAAGGAGCTTAGGCTGTTGTCCCGACTCCATCTGTGTTCGTTAACACCTCACCAATCCACACTGGGCCTGCGCTCTCTGTTTACTCATTCCATGCGCAGGGAAGGCAACAATATAAGAACAGGGACATTAATAGGCTTATGATTGGTTGATGATGATGACGATGTCGATTCAAATAATTTATAAAGTAGTACCTTTGAGCAAGATTATTTTCATTAATTAGTTTCTCAGTAATAAATACACAGAGTCGAACAATATGTAAGTGAGCAACAAAACGCACTTTATCAGGTGGCAGTCGCTTTATCCTGCTAATGACCAACCCCTCCAGAGTAATAAAAGTCGATATCAACCCCCGAAGCTTTGATTAGGATTAAACCGATTTGATATTTGACTGAAACTTGATTAGTTTCAGTCAAATATCAAAACCAACATATTAAATAACTAGTTACTGTGAATCGTAAGTTTATCGATCATTACATATTACAATAAAGTAAAAGGTATAATGCATTTTTCTGCCGTCAGTAAGCAACACTAGCACACAGATAGCAGATTTTTTAAGTATCTGTTCAATGTTTCATTTTAGGTTTTACTTTTTCCCAAATACGAATTAGAGCAAAAATCAAGAATGTAACTATTCTCAAGAGACACAATATTACTCAATACCGATGTATCATATTTCACTTTTACAGAAGGTATGACTTTATAAGACACCATTTGTAGGTTTATTGATAAACAATTATGTTTTGGCATGAACACTATAATAAAAAAAAATGCAAAATGTAAAATACGCGATCTTTAATTTTTTTCGATATAAAATGTCGTCTAGTAAAGATTTACTACCTCACTGGGTGGAGATACGGCTGAACAATACGGCTGAACAAAGGTCAGCCAACTTAATTGGTCGGATTAGAAGTAAAATATAGTAAATAGCGTAGAGTGGGTGATTTTAAATAAAACTCACAAACTTCTTGTTACTATCTGTAATTGACAATATAACAAACTGCTTATTCGCGATTTGGGTAGTAATGGTTCGTACGATCCAATGCAAAATGCTATCGTACACAGCAATATTACAAGTTAGTTAAGCTTAAACTTTCATAATAAATTCCTAATACTAATTTAGAAAGCAATTATTTAAAGACAAGACATACATTGCTTACTATCATGGCCGCGACTCAGACGGCCATGATAGTTAGCAATGTACCTATGTGATTTGACAATGACAGCAACAAAGTTATTTTGATGGCGATGGCGCCATTCAATTAAATAGCTAGCCGCCCAATTGAACGGCTAATATAACCAATTGGCTACAACATATACATAACATAACAGAAAAAATACAAAATCCCCCTTTTCGATTTTGAAATTGTTTATAAAGCTGTAACAATTTATTCACGTAAATCTCAAGATCCATCAGTCGTAGTATATACTCACCGAACCGTGGCTGCGAATTAGCGGTGGCGGCAAAGAAAAATGATTGTGACAGTCCGGCGCACAGCACTAATGGAGTCTGCGTCTGCGAAATGTTCCCACTTATGCCGCTCTTACTGACCAATACGCCACTAAATTGCTCCCTCAGACCTTTATGCTCGATAACTGCTAGATAATTTTGATTACAGACAACGATTTATGAAATGTGACTTAATAATAATATAATTAATAATTATTAGTACAAACACAATCTTTTTATACCAACTACACGATTAACTTTTGACATGATTCATTAACCGACTTTAAACAAGGAGAAGGTTTCTCAATTCGACCGTAGGTATATTTTTTATGTTTGTTCGCGGATAACTACGTCGTTTATGAACCGATTTTGATTATTCTTTACCAAAATACTTTGGCGACATAAATCAGCAACAAAACAAAAGATAGCGTATTTTGCATTTATTCAAAATCCGTATGTGGAAATTTCTTTGTTGGACAAAAAATTCAACATCACTAAAAATCATGAAATATATATTTTTTATATAGTAAAGTACAAAATTTTAAAGTAAAAAAATAGAACCGACTTCAAACTTTAAAATGTGAGAAATAATAATATTATAGAAATAATATTATATAGAGGTTTTCTTTAGGTTATTAAATGATAACCGCCCGACTTTAATAGCAGTTTCTTGAATAATGAAATCGCTTTTAAGATGCCTAAATATTATTTCTCACTTTTTAAAGTTTGAAGTCGGTTCCATTTTTTTACTTTAAACAAATTAGATGCATTTAAAATTTTATTACAAATAAGGTTAAAATGCAACACAAGCCGCGAAAAAAATTTTGCACTTACTATAATAATATTTCTAACTGCAATTTCAGGCGTTAAAAACCCTAGTCAAGTAAACCCTAATCGTCAGTTAAAAGTGCTCGACGGTCAGCGATAACAACATAATAGGGTGACTATCTGATGTGTGTATCTACTTAAATTCAAATCGGTATTGTAATACGCGGGGGCAATTCGAAACAAGTTGCCGCCGCTCTCGAGCAATAATGGGCCCCTCCCCTACAATAGTATCCCCTCACAAATTAAGTGTAAAACAAACCTAATGAAATTTAAATATCTCTCTGGCGACGTAATAACTGCACAAATAAAATCGAGTCGCGAGGGAGGGTAATCGCATCCATTGTGTACACATTGTACTTTATACTCCTCGAATTTT